GGGGGGGGGGGGCAGAATCCCTTCCCAGCTCCCCCCCCCTCGGCCCATCCACCGGGTGCCAGTGACGGGATTCGAGGAGGGGGATGCACATGGGGGGGCTGGGAGGGGGGAGTCGAGGGGCTTCAGCTCTTAATTTCCTATTAACTGCTGATCAATCCAATTAGCTCCCGGCCGTAATGAAGGGCAACTGCTTGGCTGGGACCAGCTCTCCCTCCCCCATCCCAAAACACGTCCCAGAACGCATCCCAAGAGGAGCCGGCGAGGAGGGGGGGGCTGGGGGGGAAGGGAGGCTGATGGAAGGGGTTTTACCCAATTTTCCAGCTGACTCTAATTAAGTTGCTCTCTTCAGCTGTTAAATTAGCCGGAGCCCTCCCTCCTTCCCAGGGTGGTTCCCCCCTTCCCCTCCCCACCGCCCAGATGCAGCAAATCAGCTGCTCCCTCCCCCCCCTCCCGCAGGGCTCCACAAATAAATAAATAGACAATCCCGGGAAAATTAACCGTGTGAGGAGCCGCAAATGAGGTGGAAAATTTTAATGGTCCGGCGTTTAAAGCCGTGTGACAGGAGGGGAGGGAGCGGGGAGGGGGGAGCGGGGTGTCACTCCCGGGGGCTGCCACCTTCTCCCCCCGCCGCATTCCCATCCTTCCCGCAGCAGCATCTCCCGGCTGGTGCTGGGGATGCTGGGAATACTGGGGATGGGGGGGACCCCCAGTGTGGGGGTCAAGCGCCTGCCCCCCAACCCTCACTTGCCCCCCGCAACCCCCGTGACCCCCTCGGCAGCCCCAGCCCGGCCCCACGGCGGGGGGAAAGACCCCGGGGACCCCTCCCCAGGCCCCCCGGGGGTGATCGACCCCCCCACCCCCTCCCCGGTACCGAGAGCGGGCCGGGGGCTGCCCCACCGACCGTCCGCCAGGGGGCGCCTCCGCGCTCCCGCGTTATTTACATCTCATTTGCATAGATTTGCATACATTTGCATAGCGCGCGGCCTCGCGGCGGGACGGCAGCGCCCCCGCGCGGCGGAGCCGGGGGAGGTCCGGCCCCGCCCACTCCCTCAGGCCCCGCCCCACCCCCGCCCACCCGCGCGTCGCCGTGGTTACCGCTGACGTCACGGGGCCGTGACGTCACGGGGCTCAGCCCCCGCTCCGGGGCACCTGTTCCTGCTCCCCCCCCCCAAATCCCGCTCCAAGGTCCCGTCCTGGCCCCGCCACCGTCACCTGTCGCCCGCGGTCCCTTTTGGGGCCCCGCCGGGCCCCGCGCCAGCGCCCGGCCCCGGGGAACGGGGCGGGGGGGCCCGGCCCACCCTGTCCCCTCCCAGCGCCCCTGCCCGGCCGAGCCCCCGGCGGGGGCACCGACACCCCCACACTGACCCCCCGCTGGCACCACCGACACCCCCCCAGTGACCCCCCTATTGGCACCACCGACACCCCCACAGTGACCCCCCATTGGCACCACCGACACCCCCAGTGACCAGTGACCCCCCCACTGGGGCCACTGACACCCCCACAGTGACCGGTGACCCCTCCCCATTGGCACCCCCGACCCCCTCAGTGACCCCCCCGCACCCCCAGTGCCCCCCCATTAAATTCAGCGCAGGGCGGGGGGTGGGCACAGCCTGTATTGCCAAACCCGGGTGACACACGTGGAGCAGCGGGGCAGGACCCCCCCGACCCCCTCCCCAGCATCCCCCCCCGAGACTGGGGGGCTCCACAGCGAGTCCGGGGGTGCCCCCTGCTCGCACCCAGTGTCTGAAGGCACCAACCCCCCCCCCCGAGGGAACAGCCCCAGAGGCACCTCCCGCCCCCCATCCCTGTCCTGGGGGGGTCAGTCCACTCCGGGGACCCCTTTGCTGCTGGGGGGGCAGAGATGGGGGTGCCTGTCCCTGCCCCCGTCCCTGCACCGCAGCCAGGACCCCCCCCCATCCCGGGGTCCCTCTGTCCCCCTCCTGGGGCCCCCCCGTCCCCATCCCGGGGGTCTCCCCCCCCCGCAGCCCCCTCAGATCTCCTCCAGGAAGTCCACAGGGAACAGCCCCACTTTGCGGCCGGTGAAGACTTTGACGTAACCGTTCACCTCCTCCCCCTTCTGCACCACGATCTGGGGGGCGAGAGGGGGGCGGGTGAGACCCCCGGGACCCCCCCCCGGAGCAGGGGGAGCCCAGGGAAGAGCCGTTCCCATGCGAGGGGAGGGGGAGGTGGGAAGGGAAGGGGAGGGGACGGCGTTGCCGGCCGTGGTGCGGCTGTGATGGGGGTCCCCGGGTGGTGACGGGGGGGGGGTCCCACCTCACCTGATCCTTCTTGAGCGTGATCTGCCCGATCTCCCGGTTGCCCACGAAGGAACGGGTCACTTTGTGCACCCGCTCGCCCGCCCGCACCCGGATGATGAAGTTGGGGGGGAAAAACCCGACTTTCTCACCGATCTTCCCCTGCGAGGAGGCAGCGAGTGGGCAGTGGAGGAGTGGGGGGGGGATCCTGCCCAGGGGTCCCGGATCCTGCCAGGCTGAGGGTTGGGGTGGGGGCACGGCAGGTCTGGGGGGCTGTGTGTCCCCCCCCTTGGAGCACCACGGGCTTTCCCAGCCTTACCCGCCACCACTCCTCGTTGGAGTCATCGACCACCGTGATCTTCTCCCCCGGCCTGGAAGGGAAAGAAGGGCCCTGTGAGGGGGGTGGGCAGGGCCCCCTCCCCGCGGGAGACCCCAAGGAAAACTGCTCTTCCCGTGGGATCAGCTCCTGGAGCCCCGTGCTCGGGGCCGGTGAGGGGTGAGCACAGCCCACGGGCTTGGGGACAGGCGGGTCCCGGACGGAGCAGCTCAGCCTCAAGAAATCCATGGAACCACATCGAGCCAAACCTCAGGAGCCTTGGGAAGGAGCCCAGGACACAGCTGGCAACTCACGGGAAGTCCAGGTCGTCCTTCTCCAGGGCTTTGAAGCGATAAAGTGCCACGAAATAGTGGGACTGCAGGAACGCCCCCGGCTGCGGCTTCTTGTTCTGGGGGGGGGGCACAGCGGAGTTTGGGGTCCCAGAGGCTGCAAACGGCTGCAGGGATCCCAGCAGGGAGATCCCACAACCTCTGCCCACGGTTTTGGGGGGCAGGATGAGGAAGGGGGGGTACCTTGTCATCTGTCGGGCTCTTCTCAGCCTTCTTGTCCCCTTCGGAGGCACCTGGGAACGGGAAGGGAGGGGGGTCACACCTCCCCTGGTGGTGCCTCCCGAGGGTCTCCTCAGTCTACTCGGGGACACAGCGAGAGCCCCGGGGTGAGGACCTGACCTGGAGACCCCCTTTCTGCAGGGCAGACCCCACCCTGGTGGCCCCCCAGGCACAGTCGGGGGCTCCCTCCCCGTCCCACGGGCTCGGCCCCCCCATCCTCGGCCCCCCCACTCACCGCCCTCGGCTTTGCTCCCCGCCGGCTTCGCGGCCTCCGGCTCCTCGTCCATCATCGCAGCCAAGGGCTGGAGGGCAGAGAGAGCTCTCAGGGGGTGCAGAATGCGGGGCGGGGGGGTCAGTGCGTTGCCAGCACAGGAGTTTTGGGGAGGGCCCGGCCCCCCACTCACGTTCTTCTTGTCGTCCTGCCCCTTCTTGCGCTCCTTGTTGGCCATGATGACGCCCGTCCGCAGCGTCTCGAACACGGGGTCGCTCCTGTTGTCCGCTGGGGGGGCACAGGGACGGCGGGGGGGGGTCGTGGGTGGGACACGAGGGGATGGGGCACCCCGGGGTGGGGACTGGGGGGACGGGGCACCCACCCCGGCACGGGGACTTACAGAGCTGGTCCTTGACGCAGAGCTGGTCGCTGTAGAGGGGGGAGCTGTAGGCCCGGCGGAACCCGGGGGGCTGCGGGGAGAGGGGGGGGTCGGAGCATCAACCACCCCCCAGACCCATCCCATCAGAGCTGGGGGGACGGGGGCCCGGGGGGGGGGAAGCCAGGGCCCCCCTCAGGGGCTGGGAGGTGACGGGGGTGGTGGCACCGGGGTCCTGCCCGCGGGGGCTGGGGTGGTCCCGGGCCGGGGGGGGGACCCACTCACGATCTTGCCGAAGCAGCGCTGCATCTCCACGTAGGACTGGCAGTGGTGGTGGATGTTGGTTTTGCAGTTCTTGCACCTCAGGCCAAATTTGTTGTTGACTAGCAGTGCGGGGGGGGGGGGGTGGGGGGGTGGAAAGGAGAGGGAATGTGACACTGCAGCTGTGGAACGGCCGGGACAGAGCCCTGGGCAGCCTTGGTCCCCAGGCCCTGCCCTGGCTCTGGCCGTGGCCCCCAACCCTCGTCCTGGCCGTGGCTGCAGCCCCCAGCCCGAGCTCCAGCCCTGCCTTCCAGCCCCAGCCCTGCCCGTAGCCCCCACCCTGCCCAGGCCCCATCAGGACTCACGGACGATCATCCGGGCACAAACATCGCAGAACTTGGGTTTTTTGAAGTAATGATCTTTGAACTTGTGGGGTTTGTCATTGACGAGTTTCTCGGGTTCAGGAGGGGGCTCGGGCTCCTCCTCCTCTTCCTCCTCTTCCTCATCCTCATAGATGTAGTAGATGGGGCCCCCCGAGGGGCTGACCAGCTCCCCGTTGGGCTGCGGCTCCGGCACCGGCTCCTCCTTCGGCTTTCGTTGGAAAAGTTGCTTCAGCTTCTGCAGCTGCTGGGGCAGGAGAGGGTGGATGGTGCGTGGCAGGAGGGCAGACACCCCGTGCCCAGCCCCTCGCCCCACTGCCCTGACCCAGAGACCCCTTCCCCAAGTGGGAGGAGACCCCAGGAATGCTGTGAGGATGGGGACCCCCCTCCTGCCCCCATGAGGTTCCCACAAAAGGGGAAACTGTGGCTCCTGGGCACCTTGGGGACGTGGGCATCCCAGAGGAGAGCCGAGCTGGGAAATGCCCACCCAGCCCCAGGTGGATCAGGGTCCCACCAGGCACCCCCAGCCCTCCCAAGCCTCCTGGGGCAGCGGCAGGATGATGGCAGGAGAGGTGGCTTCCCCCTGTGGCACCCGGTGGGCACCCACTTACCCGGCTCTTGGGTTTCCCACCTGAAGCCGGTGAAGCCGCTGGCTCTGGCACTTCCTTCTCGGTCATGCTGTGAGGGGAAGGGAGGGACGAGGCATTGGCTGGGGCTGCTCCTGCTGCAGGTGCCCGGTGGGGCCGGAGCGGGCAACCTTGTTGGGTGGGCACTGCCTGCCCTTCCCCTGCAGCGCCCGGTCCCACTGCCCATCCCACAGCCCCTGTCCTGGCAAGGACTGGTTCTGCCAAGGGGAGCCCCGGGGTCGCTCCCACTGCCCATCCTGCAGCCCCTGCCCCAGCGAGGGCTGGTTCTGGCCCCGAGAGCCCCAGGGCCAGGCTGGAGGAGGCCAATGCCCAGCCCAGCGCCTGGCACAGCCGCTGGCTCGGGGCCGTGGTGCCAAGTGCTGTGAGCCAGGCCCTGGGCTACCTGCACGTGCCCACCTCTGCCTGGGCATCTCCATCTCGCCATCGAACTGCAAACGGAGCCGCTCCCGGCCCCTTGGGACGGGCACACAGGTGACCCCGGCAGGCATCACCCGGCCTTGGGCTGCCACCGGGGTAGGACCTGCTCTTGCATCCCCCAAACCATCCCGATGCCACCTTTGACGACCCTCCACGCAGTCCTTCCGCCCAGAGTTCGATATTTTTGGTGACACCCACCCCGAGCCCCCCCAGGCCTCGTGAAAATCGACGAAAAACCATCGGGAAGCAGCGCTGGGGCTGGGGGTCGTTGGGGTGAGGGGCACTGCGGGGACGGGGCACCCCGAGGTCCTGCAGCAGCACGGGGGGGCCCTCGGGGGTCAGGGACACGGCGGGGGGGGGCCAGGCAGGGGAACCCACTTACCCTGTGCTTGGAGGCCTCGCCCTGCGCTGCTGAACCCCCCGAGGGGCGGCCGGTGCCGGTGCAGAGCCCCCAGGCCCCCGTGGCGGGCGCGGGGAGGGCGGTCCCGTGGCCGGCGGAGTGACAGGGCAGGGGGGACGACAGCTGAGCGCTGCCGGGGCTGACGCCGGGAAATTGGAGCCCCGGCGTGCGCCGGGCGGGAGCGGGCGGAGGAGCCACCGGCTATTTGCGTTGGTGGGTTGCTGGGCGTGCCAGGGGCCCCCCCAGCCTGGCATGGGACAGCGGAGGGACCGGGCACAGCGAGGGCTCCGGGAGTTGGGCACTCCAAGGGCTCTGGGCTCCGGCCTCGGGGCCTCCTTCGCTCGTGTGTGTGAGAACTGGAGCCTGGGTGGGGGGCACGGGGCACAGTGGCAGCAGAGGGGTCTCTGGTGGGGCAGAGTGGCAGCAGAGGGGTCTCTGGTGGGGCAGAGTGGCAGCAGAGGGGTCTCTGGTGGGGCAGTTTGTGGCTGCCTTGGCACCCTCTGGCACCAAATCCTGCTGGGACGGGGGGAGTGGGAGCCCAGTGCTGCCAGGCTGCCTGTGGTGGGGGACAGGGCCCTGGATGGGCATCCTGGGGTCCCCACAGTCCCTGCCCAGCTGTGGGGGGCAGCGAGGTGGGAGCTGGTACAAGTCTGGAGTTGGAGTCCCCCCTTTCCCGGCTTCTCTTACCTGCGCTGGGAGCGTCCCACTGCTGCTGGAGGCTCCGGCTGTGCCACCGAGGCTGTGCCAGCCCAAATCCTGCCCCCACCTGCACCTGTGCCAGCTCCAGGTGCTGCTCCTCAGTCACCAGGAGTATGTTGCTTCCCAGCAGGGGACACTCCATGCCCTCAGTCCTGCCCTGGCACAGCTGGATGGGGCTGGCAGCTGAGAGAAGAGGCCGTGAACATCTGTCAGGGGTCCAGCCCCAGGCCAAGCACTCCAATCCCAGCCTGGGCTCCCCACATGCCAACCCAGGGGCAGGACTGGCCAGGACACATCCCCTCCCAGTGCCCCTTCCACTGTCCCCTCACCCCACCGAGGCAGCCCAGAGCCCCCAGCCCTTGGCACTGGCAGAGAACGGGAAAGTCGCGTTCGAGTGATGGACAATTTTCCTTTTTTTTTTTTTTATTTAAAAACACCCCCCCCCAAATAAAATAAAACAAAACCAAAAATACTGCAGTGAACATACCAATCAACACCTGTATGTGCGGTCCAACACAGTGCTTAAACAAAACCAGAGACACAGGGGAGGGGGGCGGGCACGGGCGGCACTCCAAAAATAATAATAATTAAAAAAAAAAAAAAATCAACTTCTCGTCTCTTAATTATGTTCATATAAATATATCAAGGGAGGAGGGCGAGAGGAAGGGAGGGCGGGAGGAGAAGAGGCCCAGGGGGGTGCCCGGTGCCCGCGGGAGCCCTACTGGGAGCTGGCCCGCTCCAGCACCCGCAGGTCGTAGTTCTTTTTGGCCACGCGCAGCTTGAAGCGGCTGAGGGAGTTGTTGAGGCGGAGGGAGGCGTTCTGGGCAGCCAGCGGGCTGGGGAACACGGCCACGATGGTGTATAAGGCAGCGAGGTCACCGTGCCTGCCGTTCTCCGGAGTCCCGCTGTTGTCCCCGCCGCCGCCACCGCCGTCCCCGCGGCGCCCCTGAGTCTCTTTGAGCCACTGGATTTTGGCACCGGCCATGGCGAGCTGCGTGAAGAGCTTGTCGGCCTCCGTCCGTGTGATGCCCTCGGGCAGGTCCGTCACCTCCAGCACCCGGCCCAGCACTGCGGGGAGAGAGGACGAGTCACCGGCCGGGTCCCGGTGCCCCGGGAGCCCCCCGGGCTGGAGCACCCACCTCTCCCCGGCCCAGGAGTGCTGCGCTGTGCCAAGCTGCCCCCAGGTATTTCGCTAAGTCAGTCACTTCCCCCAGACTGCCCCTACCTGCTCCCTGCAGGGCCCCATCCTGATCCCTTCCCATGCACACACAACCTGCTTCGGGAGGAGCTGGGTACTGCCCAGTGTCCCAGGGCTCCAGCGACACCCAGTCCTTCTGGTGTCCTTTGGATGGCCTTGGCTGGGCAGTTTGGGCTCTCCCAGGGGCTCTGCCCTGTTTTCCTCCCCCAAACCTCAGGGAGCAGGACTGGGAGCCAACCCTGACCCTGGGAGGGAGAATGGCTGCATCCACAGAGGGCAGCAACACGTGGCTGTGCCCTGCCCAGAGGTCCCCAAATCCCTCAGCAGCTCCTGCCCCAGTCCCTGCCTGGTGGTCCCCAAGCCCCTGTGCAGCTCCTGGCTCCAGCCCTGGCTCCAGGCTTAGCAGAGCTGCTGAAGGGATTCTTTGCTAATATTAACGTGGCACAGCCAGGCCATGCCAGGGGCAGGGAGGGCGGCTCTTAAAGGGCCCCCTGCCACCAGCTGCTGGTGGTGACACGGAGGTGACACGGGGGACAGGCCCGAGGCCTCCAGAGGGTCAGTGAGGGCTGCTCCGTTCAGGCTGCGGGTCCCTCCCTCCCCAAGGACCCTGCGGAGACCCCCCGGGTGAGAGACAGGCAGGAACCACTCCCTAAAACCAGCACGGGGTCCTGTGGGATGCTGGTGTGGGCATCTGGAGTCCCCAAACCCCGTGTGTGTGGACATCAGAGGGCAGAGGGGGTCACTTGCCTACGTCGCTTGTCCCCAGGTCGGTGGACGCCGATTTGAGGGCCTGTCTCTTGCTCCGGTTCCCGTGTTTCATCCCAGTCTGCCCCTTGAGGAGTGAAAAGGGCACCGTGTCACCTCAGGGGACAGCGAGGCCTCCCGGGGAGGGGACAGTGAACTCCCGTGGCCCGGCTGTACCTGGTGTGCCGTGTAGCCGGGCTGGCTGTGGAGCAGTGGCGGGGGACAGAGGGACAGGTTGTACTGCAGCGGTTGGCCCAGCAGCGAGTACCGCCCGTCACCTGCGCCAGGAGACACTCAGTGGGGCCCCGGGAAACAGCGGGGAATTCCCAGCCCTGGGCTGTCCCCACACACCTCCCCCTTACCTTGTGCCGGGCCCATGGGCCGGGGGAACTGTGTGAGGACAGGGAGGGGGCTCAGCCCCGTGCACACACTGTTGAGGTTGGTGACGGGCGACGGCGTCGGGGACTGGGTGGGGGACGTGATGGGGCTGTTCAGCTGAGTGCTGGCCTGGGGGAGGGACAGTGTCAGACACCCCCGGTGCTTGGGAGCGCTCCCACAGCCGCGGGGTGACCCCTCACCCGTCACCCGGCCCACCCCGGCGGCCCCAGAGGCCGAGCTGCCTCCTCCCCGTCCCTCCCAGTCCGCCCAGTACCTGAGCACTGGTGTCGGGGTTGTAGAGGTCTCCTGGCTTCTGCCCCCGCTGCTCCAGGCTGTAGTACTTACAGTGGCTCCACTGCACCACGGGGGGGTTCTGGGGGGCCTGGGGGCCGTTGGGGACATTCAGCTGCATCACCACGACACCGGGGCCTGACGGGGACACCCCTGGGGACAGACACAGGCACGTCTGGCCCGGGCTCTGCTGCTGTGGGACCTGGGGCACCTGCCTGTCCCTGCCACTGCACACCCTTCCCTATGATCCCGCTCTGGACTCTTCTCCTCTCTGGAAAAGCCCCACCAGGATCCGCTGGGGATCCCTCTCCTATATGCCATCATACATCGGGGAGGGATGATGTTTAATCCAGGAGAAATGGGAGCAGGGGGGACAAGCTGATGGGTGGCAGCTCAGTGGTTGCTCTGAGCGTCGCTGCAGGACTCTGAGCACGGAGCTGGGCCCAGAACTCCAGCATCCCAGCCCAGGTCCTGCAGCTCAGCAGGCCCAGAGCTCCACAATCCCAGCCCAGCTCCTGCACTGGCTCACAAGGCCCCACCTTGCTCCCAGTGGCTGGGACAGGGAGCAGGAATACTGAGGCTCCTCATCCACAATTCTCCCCGCTCTCACCAATCCACAGCCCACCCAGCTCCCTCTGCCACTCCCACCCCGCTGCCCACCAGGGCAGGGAGATGCCACGCACAGGCCAGCGCCCCCCTGGTGCCACATCCCGATCGTTCCCAGTGGGATTCCCAGCCTCAGGAACCCCCTTGCGCAGACGCCGCCAGACTTGGCTGCGAAGCGGCAGCTCCGCCGCCCACGATCCAAAGGCTGATCCCACCTGGAATCGGTGCCAGCCCTGCCCGTGGCCCCTCGTACCTGAATACTGCTGCTGCATCTGGGGGGGGCTGCAGGGGGCCGGGGACTGCGGCATCTGGTACTGCTCGGAGCCGGGAGGCTGCAGGAACCCCACGGACGGGCTGAGGAGCAGAGAGGGAGCGGGTGAGGACGGGGATGGGGAGGGAAAACCCCGGGGGGTCTGTGCAGGTAACTCCCAGCTCCCTCTGTACTGGGATGGCTGGACACACAGGAGCCTCTGGAGAGGGCTGGACACACAGGAGCCTGGCATGCTGGGGGCCAGGAAGCCCTGGATATGGGAGGCAGGACTCAGGGAGGAGCAGCTCCTGTGGTGCTCAACCACCTCCAGCTGCAGGAACAGGACGCTCCCCCCTCTCAGCAGGGCATGGAATCATCCAGTGGAATCATGGAATGCCCTGGTTGGAAGGCACCCACAGGGAACATCAAGGCTGTCTCCTGGCCCTGACAGGACACCCCCAAAACTCCCTCCCCAGGGCAGGCCGGAGGGGCAGGGGCTGTACCTGGTGCCGTTCTGCTGGGCAGTGGGGATGACGCTGTAGTAGATGGGGACCCCCCCAGCCTGGAGCCCCCCCTGCACAGACTGACTGGCTGGCACGAGCACTGGCTGCTGGAAGGGCTGCTGGACCACGCTCTGGGACTCACTGGCCATGGGAACCTGGGCAGGGAGGAAAGCAGCAGGTTACAGGTCACACGGAGCAAGGAGAACTGGCCCAAGGAGACACCGGCAAGGGGAAGAGATTCCAGGGGTGTTTTCCTGCCCAGGCAGGGCAGCCCCTCCCAAGCTCTTCTCCCTGTCCTCCTGCTCCAGATGTGCCCCACAGATTCCCACATGGATGTGCCCTCCCCAGGGTGCTCTCCAAGTGGGTAATCTCCACCTCTGGCTCCAACCCTCAGGCACACCTTGCCCACTGGGGTCCCCTCCCAGCCCCCCACGCTGGAGAGCAGCAGATGCCCACCTGGTACGAAGGCAGCGGCGTGTACTGGACCATCAGGCCTTGCATCTGGCTCCCCATCCCACTCCTCTGGCCGCTGAGGAGCCCGGGGGGCTGTGCCTGCTGCACCCCCATCACGCTCTGCATCTGGCCCCCCATGTTGTTCCTCTGGCTGTTGAGGAGCCCGGGGGGCTGTGCCTGCTGCACCCCCATCACACCTTGGTATGTTTGCTGCTGGTTGGACATCATTGGCTGTAAACCTGCCAGAACAGGGTTTCAATGGAGCAGCTTCCCAGCTGGACGTGGGAAACAGCCCCAGACTTGGGATATAGGGGCTCAAGTCCTGCTCTGCCCCCACCTCCTGCTAAAGAGTGGGGAATGGGCTTCCTCAGGGCAGGTGTAAAAACACCTGAGGGAAGCTCCTGGCTTTAAATCCCCTCAGTGGGGCTTAAATCCACCTCATCCCCGCTCCAGCAAGCTGAGAGGAAAGGGAGGGGAAGGATTCAACAGCCTCTACAGGCCAGGATCCAAATTCCCAGCCGAGAGACAGGTCCAGCAAAGAGCGGGAGACGGGGAAGAGCAACCTGGCCCCAGAGAGCACAGGGGAGATGCTGAGAGCCACAAAAGCAGCAGAAAAGGGGAAGCTGCCCCCCCTCCCCCCTTACCACCCCCTTACCTGGCTGCTGGGACTGCTGGGGGAGCTGCTGTGGGCGCTGGGAGCTGTAGGCCACTGGGTGACTGAGGGGTCGGTATTGCTGGCTGGAGTTCGGGTACTGCCCGGGGGGGTAGTAAGAAACCTGAATCTACCAAGGGCAAGAAAACACGGTGGTGAGAACACAGGAGGGAGGGGATCCAAGAAAGCTGGTCCCCCAGGACCAGTTTTCTCTCTCACCTGGCCTGGCTTCTGCCGAAGGGAACCACCCAGGGCTCTGGCTCCGTGGGGAACCGCAGCCCCTTCCCGCGCCTCCCAGCCTCCTCATCCAAGCCTTTCCCAGCACAGTAGTGCAAGAGCACAGTAGGCACAACTCTCCTCACAGCTCAGGGGACAATCCTAGAGGTCATAAAGCCCTGCAGGACCCCAAAGAGAGCTTAGAGGTGTCAGCCCTGAGTCCGGCCACTGTCCCTCCCCCACCACTGAGAGCCGGGAGTGGCCCGGGGGGGTCCCCAGGCAGGAGCCTCGTGGGCTCACAGGGACACAGGGGCAGGGACCATCCTGTGCCTAGCAAGGGAGGGTGAGACCCGGAGCTTGGACCCCTGAGGGTGGATCCATCACCAACGAGCAGCAGACAAAGAGGGGCCCACTCCCCCGCAGCCCCTGGCAGCTCTGGGGACGTCCCCTCGTGTCCTTACTTGCTGGGGAGGCTGAATGTAGCCCTGGGGCTGCAGCACCTGCTGAGTGGGGGCCGTGTGCCCCGAGGCGGAGTAGCTGGAGGTGGGAATGGGCTGCCCAGGGGTTGCCATGATGAATCCTGGCTGCTGAGGGTGCTGGGAGATGAGGGACGACTGGAACATCGCCGAGGAAGGATCCGGGGCCTCCGTCGAGCCCTGTCGGCTGAGGCTGATCTGCCCGAAGGGGCTGCTGAGCTCGTCGGCCTGCAGTGGGACAAGGGGAAGGATGGAGGAGGACAGCACGTGGGACAACAGCACGTTGTTGTGCTGAGCCCTGCTCCCTGCTCTGCGAGGAGCTCCCCCAGCACAGGCCCCCGGACACGGGCCACAGGCCCGGAGCAGGACGGGGGGACACGCGACCTGCTGGGGGGCCTAATGCTCAGTGGACACTCAGTGACGCGGGGGGTCCCACACAGGCAGGGGTGACCCCAGCCCGCAGGCCACGTCCCGTGGGGCACACCATTCCCAAAAGATCCCGGTGGAGACAGCACAGGGGCTGGCTGAGCCCACAGGGCAGCCACGGCTCCCAAACCCCAGCACTGGGCACAAGCATCGCTTCCTGGGGAGCTCTGAGCTTGGAATTTGCTTTTCCCAGGCTCTTTGCAAGACTGCCACTCTGGGATGGGTGGTGCCACAGCCTCAGGAATCCCAGTGCAGCACAGAGCTCCGTGAATCCCAACCCCACGGGGTCGGTGTCCGGGACATACCTGATCAGCACAAGCTCACACAACACAAACACAGCACAGAGCACAACAGAGAGTGCAGAAGAGGAACTGGGGTTTATACCAGGTTGTACTGCTGGGGTGGAGAGACTGGCAGGAGGACTTGGGGGCAGGAGCTTGGAGAGTACGGAACAGGCTGCAGCGCCGGGACCGGCTACGACCAGCGGAGGAGGGAGGAGAGAGATCCGGGGGAAAGGGAGGGAGAGGGGAAGGAAGGAAGGAGGGAAGGATGAGGAGGAAGGAGAGAAAGAAGGAACAACAAGGTTAGTCAAGTGAGCCAACTGCAAACACACAGAGGGGCAGTGCAGGGATTGGGAAGCACGGAGACCATTCCGGGGCAGGATCCATCCCGGTCGGACACGGCCCGGCCGGAGGCTCGCGGAGCCCGGGAGGGGTGGCCTGTCCCAAGGCAGCTCTTGCCTGGCAGGAGCAGTGGCACGAGCTCACAAGGGCCAGCAGCAGCAGCAGGGTCACTTCTCCCCACACAACACTCCCATCTCTCCCATTTCCCCCAGTCCCTGCAGTGCTCCTTGGCCATTCCTGCTGGGAATGCCATTCCTGCTGGGAATGCCTTCCCTGCACGCTCACCTTCCCCAGGGACCCCCACTTTGTCACCCTGAGGACCTGCTTTATGACAACCCCTCACTCAGGCCCCAAACTTTGTGCTTTGGGCATCGACCCTGTGATGGCCAGTGCTGGAAGGGGGGGTCAGTCCTTTGACTGAACCTTTGGTGACACTGAAGGGACATGGACATGGGGACAGTGCATTTCCAGACCCTTCACCAACACTCAAACACCTGAAATCAGTTTTTCCAGGACCTAAACCATCAGAGCAGAAAATACAAATAAAAACACCAGCATGGCCCAGTGATCCTGCAGCAGGACAGGGTTTGTCACAGGGGCAGGGGCAGAACAAGTCCATAGGGATGACACCCATGGGTGCTTTCCAGAGGGTTCCACCCCTGGGAACAGCCCAGCAGGCTGTGGAACAGCAAACATCCCTTGGCTTTAACTTGGGGAGGGTCTGGAGGACACCCCCAGCTCAGCTCCAGGTCTGCCTCCCCCAGGACATCAGGAGACCAACCACGGGGAGCTCAAACCCAAGAACCAGGCGGGACAGTCCCGAGGGAAACTGCTTCCAGTTTGCCACTTATCCAAAGACCACAGACCCTTTTTCCAAAGGGGCTGCTGGCCCGAGCAGATCAGAAGGGGTTGGGAAGCTGGGAAATCCCATGGAATCATTCAGGCACAGCACAGCCCCCGACCTTCCCCCGCTCTGCCACGAGCACGGAGGGACCGCGACCGTGGGGACCCCCAAACCCCAGGGGTGGGCCCAGAGCCCCCCCGGGTGTCCTCTGGCCCTGAGTGACTCACCTGGGACATCATGGGGCTGCTCATGGCCGGCGGCTGCTGGGCGGGGGGGGGGATGCCGGGGGGCTGCGGGGGCGGCGGCGGGGCCGTGCAGGGCAGGAGGCCACGGCTGGGCTGCGAGGACGGGGACTGGCTGCACCCCTCGGGGGCTCCTAGCACCAAACCTGCAACGGGGAGACAGGCACGGAGCATCAGCACCCGGCACACACGGGCTCAGGGGGATCCCAGTGGGATCTGCCACCCCCGGAGCTTCCAGGGGGTCAGGGGAGCAGGCAGAGGGAGGAGGAACTGCTGTGCCTCTGCTCACAGCAAAGAGAGGGGCTGACACTGCTGGTGACACTCCCGGGGTTGGACCTCCCTCCTCTCCATGGCCAGGGGCACTCACTGACCCTCCAAGGCTGATCCCGGGATCTCCTCCCCCACCCCACACAGGGAAGAAGAATCCGGCTGCCAACAGCAGCACCCGCCTGGGGGAGGCTCCTCACCCCCAAACAAGGCAGGGATCCCAAAATCAGGGAGCTGCCAGGGATGCCCGTGTCAGCTCAGCACCACGGGATCGTGGGAAGGAGCTGGGGAGCTCCAGTGCCAGCTCAGCTCTGGGCACGGACACCAGCACCAACCTGAGTGCCCAGAGCAGAGAGGGGAGTGCGGGGACCCCGTTCCTTGGGGGACCCCATTCCATGGCCCCACAGACCCCTCCTCTCTGAGGAAAAGGCTGGGAAATGGCAAGCTGAAAGCACCCCCTTCCCATGGCAGGCAGAGCTGGGAAGGAGTGTGAGGCACACACGGCTGGCACCCAGCTGGGAAGGGTCTCCTCAGTATTCCAGTCTTACTTCCAGAAATAAAAGGGTTGTGCAACTATTGCTTCGTGCCCAGTAGCTGCTGCTTAACCAATTCTGCCTCTGATCTCCCACATTTCCACAGCTGATCTCCGGGGACTCTGCTGAGGAGCTCTGTCAGCAGCCACTTGCTGCAAAGGAGGGAATATTCCACTGACAGTTGCCCAGGGGCTGGATGCTGTGATGGGAAAAGAGCCCCCAGGTCCCAGGCACTTCCAATCCCATGGAATAAACACAAGGATATGGAGGAAGGTGGGTTTGGTGTTTTTCTTCCTCAAGTGATAATTCCTTTGCCTATTTTTTTTTTCTTTCTCCCAGGAGGTTTCTAATCATCTGCCCTTATATAAAGCCTGGAAAGCAACTGGCTTCTGTTCCCAGGGGAGACCCGGAGGGAAAATTACAGGAAGAGCCAAAAAGCAGCTCCTCTCTCGCTCTGCTCCGCACACGTTGGGACAGATCTTCATATAAGTGCTCCCAGCACTCCATGAATCAGTCCTGGAGGTGGCTGGAACACCCAGAGCGAGCACAGCCCTGGCACGATGGGAACAGGATCCCGGGAGACACTGTGGGCACCTCCAAACTGGGACATGAGGGTGTGGTTCCAAAGGCTGGGTGCTGGGACACGGTCCAGGAGCCTCTTAAATACATCCTTTTTGGTTGAAAGGACTCTTGTAGAGCAGTTATTACCCAGGCTCTGCCTCTCCTCCTCAGGAAAAGGACAGTTCCCAAGGATTTGGGACTTGCTGCCAACCAGCAGGAACAGAAGACAGTGGGACAACACTGGGTTCTGCTCACTGACACATCAGCAGCTCCCCCAGCTGTCACCAGACCAAAATGGGAGCAAAACCTCTGTTGCCCTTTCCACAAACACCCTTCACAAGCAGCAGGTTGAAAATGATGGATTCTGCTCCTCCCTGTCCGAGGGGAGCACAGACATTCCCTGGAACACCCAGGACACACATCCCTTGGGAAGCTGCTGCCAGGAGCTGTGACACCCCCCAGGAACATCCCCCCTGGGCTGTGCTCTGTGGTACCTGCACAGACAAGGAAGGACTGAGCTGAAGCAGCAGAGAGACCTGGGATCCTAATTCCCTTTGGCTCCCAAACCCTTGCACTACCCCCAGCAGCTCTGGGGCTCAGGCCCAGCTCCAGCTGCTGTTTGCTCCCAGGAGCTCAGTGAATCACTCTGAGAACATCGTGGGCAGATCCCAACTAACAGAGTCTTTGTCTGGCAGTTGTGTCTGATGAGACTAATTGGTGACACCTTTCCCTGCCTCCTTGGAAAGCAAGGCACAGTGCCAGGAGGTTCACCCTGAGCATCCTCAGGGCTGGGAGGGATTTGGGGAGCAGAAGGGAATGGCGACCCAACTTGGGGCAGAGCAGGGGAGAGAAAACCACGATAACTGGGAGTTTGAGTTGCAGGGGCTGGGAGCAAACACTGTCCCTCGTCCCAGGTAACTGAAGGAGGGATGGCAGAGGTGATGGTGACAAAGCAGGCCATCAATCAGGTGGCACAACCACGCCCAGGCACCGAGAGCCCGGTGCCAGCCACGTCCTGTTGTGTAACCGGGGCACCACAAGCCCCAGTTCCCCAGTTCCCCAGCCTGAATCCTGCGTGCCAGGGAAGCTGGACCTGCCTGGAGGAGCGGCTCTGTACCTGCCCGGGACGTCCTGCTGGCAGTGCTGCCCTTGCTGCTCCCGACGCTGTCCCCCCGGGTGAGGATGGAGATGCCACTGAAGCTGCTGGCCTTGGTGACGGGCGGGCGCAGGGCGCGCACGGAGCCGTCCGAGTCGGTGCTGCTCCAGGGCCGCGGCTCCAGCGCCTTCAGCTCGCTCTCCGTGCTGCTCTGGCGGCTGCTCGAGGCCCGGCCCAGCCCGTCCCGGGGGCCCCTGCAGAGAGCACGAGTCACTGGGGGCTCCAGGGGCAGCAGCAGAGGGGGGGACACACACCCAGCCCGGCCAGTGCAGGGTGGGGGGACACTGAGCACTGGGGTGGGGACACTGGGCACTGGGAGGGACACTGGGCACTGGGGGGGACACTGAGCACTGGTGGGGACACTGAGCACTGGGAGGGACACTGGGCACTGGGGGAGGGACACTGAGCACTGGGGGGGACACTGAGCACTGGGAGGGACACTGAGCACTGGGGGAGGGACACTGAGCACTGGGG